CCTGGGCGGCCCTCGTCGCCACCGCTGGATCCGCCTCGACATTAAGGTCAGACCGCACCCTGGGAGAGGTCCTGGGAGTGGCGGTATTGGTACCTTTTGATTTCAGCATCCGCTGCACAGGGCGCGAGCTAAACGATTCGACGGTGCTTTGGCGATTTCATGGACAGTTTGCATTTTGATGCGCAAAGGCGGAACGAAGACGGAACTCGATACGCTAGATCCGACCCCGAATGAAGCCTCCTGGTCGGTGTTGGAGGTCGCCGCGGCGGTCGCGGCGGTCACACATCGGGGCAAGGTTTTTGTTCAAGGAGCGGCAGGTTCACGTGGCTCATCATTCACAATCTAGCGACAGCGAACTGTCACTTCACGTGCAACATGGCCAGCCCATGCTTCTACTCAGGGTTTTCTTTGTCACACAACCTGGCAAACCGACAACGAAACGAACAGGGCAACGCACAGTTTAGCGCGCGAAGCGGGGGAATGGGTGGGGGGGCGGGCGCTGCGCTGCGCACGGGGGTGCTGCGCAGCGCAGCGCCTGCCCGCGGCAGAGGCGTCCTGTCACCGGCGCCACGTGAGCTCACTGTCGAGAGGCGGCGTTTGGGCGTTCGGCGGCGCGGGGACCGGGCCTCCCTCGCACGCCTCTGCCCCCGCCCGCGGAGCGACACGACTGTCGCGGGTCGGGTGGCACCATTGTCGCGCGCCGAATTTGTGCGGGGAGCGGGCCTCCGACGCACATAGAGCCTCAGCCGGCAGAGTGACACCCCTTTTTCGCGCGTTGATCACGCACGGGACGCGCCCACACGAGTAGCACCCGGCGTTTTGGATGAGAGGCCGAGGGAAGGTCGGCACCATGGTATTCGCCACACATTATATATACATGCATGCGTACATACATACATACAAGCATACAAACATACACACAAACAAACATACAAACATACAAACATGCATACATACATACATACATACATACATACAGACAGACAGACAGACAGACAGACAGACAAACATACATACATACATATATGCAGACACACACATACACATTTACACACATACACACATACACATATACACACATACACACATACATACATATATACATACATACAAACATACATACATCCATCCATCCATCCATCCATACATACATACATACATACATACATACGTAAACACATACATACATACATACATACATACATACATACATACATACATACATACATACATACATACATTCACACCTACATACATACATGCATGCATACATGCATTAATGCATGCATGCATGCATACATGCATGCATACATACATACATAGACACAAACACACATACATACATGCATACATACATGCATACCTACATACATATACAGGAAACACGCAATACACACAATACACACACTACACACACTACATACATACCCACACACATACATACACACATATATATATATATGCATATACATGCATATATACATACATACACACAGACATACATACATACATACATATATACATACATACATACATACATACATACATACATACATGCATGCATGCATGCATGCATGCATGCATGCATGCATGATATGTGTGTGTGTCCAACGCAGCACGGCAGAGGCAATCCGCACTGGCGTTCGCAGTAGCCGAGGACATACGACTAGCACCGTCCAGATGCAAGCGAGGGGACGCGGGAAGGCAGGGCGGTTGCGGAGGGAGCAGAAGGGGGCAGGGGGATGGGCACGCACAGGTGAACAAACTTTCACGGCGAGCGCGTCGGTGCGGCCAGCCGGGGCTGCGGTACCAGGGCGGTGGACGCGGGACGGCATCACGGCCACATCCAAGGATGTTAGCCAGGGGCTGCAGGCGCGGGGAGCTTGGGGAGCAAGGCGCTATAGCAGCACGCCAGTGCAGAAGCCCGAGGAAGCTGCCAGGAACGTGTGTTTTGATGCTCCAACCTACTGTAGCCCCGATCGCCAGAAATAATTGTTCGAGCGCCAGGAGAGTACCGAAACTTGAAGGTTTGCACGTCTCGGGCACTGAGAGGCGATACTCGTTCGACACTGTTTCGATACTGCTCTGGGTGATCGCACTTGTTTCTGGGACGTGTCCCTTCAGTACGATGGGATGTGGCCCTTACCAGGGGTGCATCCGTTTGTCCGTCACTAGGAAGTTGTCCTTTCGAGTTCGCCAGGGCGAGTTCGCCTTGGCCCCCAGAGCCGTCGAGGGCCGTTTCTGGGATGTTGTCCTTTCGAGCAACAGGAAAGTACCGAAACTTGAAGGCTTGCACGGTCCTTACCAGTGGTGCATCCGTTTGTCCGTCACGTGGCCGAGCTGCACCAGGCCTGGCACCCGCGAGCGCGCAGCTCCGCCTCGGCGGCCGCGCACGCCGGCGGCTCGGTGGCCAAGTCTGGCAGACCATGCGCCGTGGGTGCTGCTTCTGCGAGGAGGAGGAGGAGGAGGAGGAGGAGGAGGAGGAGGAGGAGGAGGAGAGGAGGAGGGAGGAGGAGGAGGAGGAGGAGGAGGAGGAGGAGGAGGAGGAGGAGGAGGAGGAGGGGAGGAGGACAAGGAGGAGGAGGAGGAGGAGGAGGAGAGGGGGAGGAGGAGGAGGGAGGAGGAGGAGGAGGAGGAGAAGGTGGAGGAGGAGGAGGAGGAGGAGGAGGAGGATGAGGAGGAGGAGGAGGAGGGGGAGGAGGAGGAGGAGGAGGAGGAGGAGGAGGCGGAGGAGGAGGAGGAGGAGGAGAGGGATGAGGTGGCGGTGAGGCACCTGGCTGCCGCCCCGTGCAGTGCAGGACGGAGCGGGCCAGCGACACAGACGAGGGCACGGAGAGCCAAAGAAGCGCGCAGCCGCAGCGACTACCAGGCCCGAGGAGCCAAGAGGAGGGCATGATTTAAGCAGTGGCTATAGGCCCACCAGAGAATGTGATAAGCATCTTGTTGTGGTCTGCGCGAACTGTTATTAAAACATTTCTGGCTGGTACGGTTTTGTTTTAACACATTCGGCTTCATGCTCTAAGGACATTGTCTTGTGATTGGAACATCTTTGGGTTCTAAGAACATGCCGTGGCAGGACTGTCAGAATCCCGGGACAGTCGGTCCCTGCTTAAATGACTTGCACTCCTGCGCACACATTCCCCAAAGAGCCAACGATATTATGCACCGCCGCCTTCTCTCTGCAAGCGCAGTAGAAGCCCGCTGGCGTGCGCATGCGTGTATACCGCTGCCAGCGTGGTGGGCGCCGCCAGGGGTCTCGTTGTGCCCAGGGCGCCCCCGTGCCGTGCAGCACAGCACGATGGAAGGTGTTGACATCACTGTCGAAGTCTCGTGCAGCCTGCTGTCACGTGTCCCTGTTCACGTCTGCCTTCCTCGGTCTTCTCAAAAAGCATCGTCCTGGCCCTGTGGAGTTGCCCAACATGCTGTTTGTTGCTGCTAGGCGCTCCCAGCGGGCTCAAGGACGACACATCAACTCGAAGGGGTCAAGACCTTGGAGGGGGTCGCGTCATGAAGCAAGCACGGCGTAAAGCGTCTGGGGGGGCCGATTTGGACTGGCCTTGGGCCGTCGTGGGTCTTTCCAGGAGCGGCATGCCATCCCCCATGAAAACCGCCCGACCTGAGCGCCAGTCGATTGACAGAGGGCCGTCGGATTTGCCATAGTCCATGCAGATTCGGGCGTGCGGTCTAGTGTCGAACACACTTGCCTATCTCATTCACCATTGTCTTGTCTCGTCCTCAGCTTACGTGCGCATGGCCTTCGCTTCGTAGTCGAACTATCAAACTAACTGCTCCCTGCTGTCGCTTATAGATATGGCATATAACCCAAAGTGGTCACGTCGGAGAGCGCCATCACCGTAGGATTCGCCATTCGAGATGTCGGGCGCGGCCTGACCGTTCAATGACTTCGTCAACCCCAACCTGACTTGGTTTCGAACTAGCTGGCCCTCTGCAAGTAGCTTGAGTTAGTGTGCTAAACCATGCTCGCCCTGCTTAACTTCCACTTCGCGCCTTCTGTCCAGCTTGCCGCTGTGCTGTTTGACTGGGCGCGGGCCCCCCTGCAACTTGAGATTCCAGCTGAATTGACGACGTAACAAGCGCTGGATGCCACACTTTAGACACTGAGGTTTCAATCCGCACCGCGTGTTGATTAAAGCCTGGGCAACTGGCATGGCGACTGGCGGACACCTCTTTGACACTTTGTCATTGTCAGTCAGACAGGACATCGATTTTCTCTAACTTATCTGGGGCCAGTCCAGGAGAGCAGGACACGCACCGAGGTCTTTGGGCCACAGGTGAAGTTCTGCACCGGGGCCTGCCAGCGCACAGAACCCGAGGGCGGGAGCTAGCTGGCAGCCGTCGGCACATCCCGCCATCGTGCCTGCGTCTTCCTTCTGACTCCTCCTGCGTCCTCCCCCCTTGGAATCCGCCACTGCGAGAAGATTGCAGCATCGCGAACAATCATGAGTGGAGACCCTAGACCCTACGTTTACATGCGGCATCTTGGAAGCGGGGCCGATGTGCACTAGTCCTGTGGCCCTGAAGTGGGCGACGACGCCGCGTATGAAAAATTGCAGCGCCCGGATCTCGTTCTCCCTTCTCTTGTGTCCTCCTCCTTCTTCTCCTCCTCCTCCTCCTCCTCCTCCTCCTCCTCCTCCTCCCTCCCGCTCCGAGAGTGGCAACACATACATCATCCACAAGTAGGCCTTCGACGCTACGAAGGACCGCCCGGAGACGACCTGAGCGCGGCACGGCTTGCCGCTCGGAGTCGCGTCGTGCTTTGGAGTGCGCCTCCATGCGCATACGTATTCCTTCCTCCTCCCTTTTTCCTCTTTCCTTCTCCTCCTCCTCCTCCTTCTCCTCCTCCTCCTCCTCCTCCTCCTCCTCAGAACAGGAGTTCGCAGGAAAGAGGGATCCATAAGTCGTCTCAGTGTCAAGAGGTATCCTCGTTCTCTTTGCTTCCGTTCCCTCCCCCTCTCCCTTCATCCTCAAACTCCCCCGTCATGCAGCCGGCTACCGAGCTTGTCTTGTACGTTGGTCCTTTCGGAAGCGTGGCCTGCAGCGGTCCGCACCGAACACGTTTTCCCCTGCCTCCCAAGGCCGCTGCAGGAGGAGCGGAGGAGGGGGGGAGGAGGAGAGGGGGCGGAGAGGAGGAGGAGGAGGCTGAGGAGGCGGAGGAGAAGGAGCGGGAGGACGAAGAGGAGGAGGCGGAGGAGAAGGAGGAGGAGGAGGAGGAGGACGAGGAAGGAGGAGGAGGAGGAGGAGGAGGAGGAGGAGGAGGAGGAGAGGGAGGACGAGGAGGAGAAGGAGGAGGACGAGGTGGAGGAGGAGGAGGAGGAGGCGGAGGCGAGGAGGAGGCCCTCTCTCCATGGAGGAGGTGGGGCGGAGGTGCCGTGCAGTCGCCGAGCACCGCGGCGCTGAGCGGCGCGCCCCGGGTCGCGCTGCACCCCGCGCCGAGGCGCGGGCCTGTCCCGCGGGGGCGGCGCGCGGGCCGCCCTGCCGCCGACGAGCCCGGGGCGCGTGAGTTCCCAGCCCCCCCCCCCCAAATGTTTGTTTTTGCAACACGAGTGTAGTTATATAGCACCACCCACCAAACCACCCCGACCCAACCCGAAGGTCTCGATTTGCCCTCCATTTCCAGTTGGGGGGGTCGGGGAACATCGAGAAAACACATATGGAACCCGTACCCCCCCCCACCCGAAATTCGGGTCTTCGGGTTGGGTTGGGGTGGTCTGGTATGTAGTCAATATATGTATAGATTGTCATATACACATGTTTTGTGTGGTGTGTATATATAGGGCGTTCCAGAATGGGACTTGCCTTCGAGGATCGAAGGGGTTGTCGTCTCTTCCTCAGCGGAAGGGGGCGGAAGGGCGGCGGAAGTGAAGCGTGGCCGCCTCCGCCGGCGGAAGCTCGGCGGAAGGCGGCGGACGTAAAAAGTTGCCCCCAAGAGGTGAAAACGTTGTTGGGTTTCGGGTTTCCGAAATCGCCCGTATGTAGACACACCCATCGGCTGTGGAACGCAGGTTCTTTTGGACTCCCAGCTCCCCATCTATTTCTTAGGCGCCGTCCTACTTCAAGAGTGAAGTGATCGTCCCTCGTCCCCAGGTGACGGGCGGAGGCCGAATATACTTTCAACGCCTTCCTACTTCATGCTTCTGCCCACTTCTTCCGACTGATGTGTACATATACATATATTTGTGTGTGCGCATATATACATTAATGCATGCATGCATGCATGCCTGTCTACGTGCAAACATACTGCATACATGCATACATACATACAGACATGCATACATACATATGTATGTATATATTGATGTAAATATATACTGGGCCGTTCCTGAAAGGGCCTCGCCTGCGAGGGCCGAATGAGTTGGCATCTCTTTCTCCGCGGTTCCTCGGCGGAGGGCGGCGATTCGGGGGGGACTCGAGGGCGACTCGGGGTTCTCTTGGCGGGTCTGGGGCACCTCTGCGGTTCTCAGGGCCTCCCAGGCCTCGTAGACGGGAATCTAGATATACATAGATATGTGCACATCATGTATAGCGGTGATAAATGTGTGTACCTAGAAGAACACATACGTGTTCTGACCGTCGCCGTTATAATGCAGGGTCCCGAGTGGGCCCTCTTCGGGATCTCTTTAGTCCATTGTCATGCCGTCGTGGGGGCCTCCTGGGCCGTCTTGGTGCCCTCTGGGGCCGTCTTGGTCCCTCAGGGCAACATTCGATGCCTCTTGGGGCTGTCCTGGGAAGCTCGGGGGGCCCCGTTGGGTTGTCTTGGGGCCTTCTTGGGCTGTCTGGAGGCACTCCAGATCTCCAGATGTGTACTGATATATCGATATGTTCATGGATAAATAACTGTCGACATGTTTACATATGTGTATATACGATTCGCTAGCCAATTCTTTCCACGCGTTCTATAATTTCATGGCCATGTCTGTGTAAACATATGTTCATATACAAATATGCACACTCATCCATATATATATATATGTATGAATGTATATGTACGACATACGTGGATATCAAATAATTACTGATATATATCTATATTCGTATTGTTATTAATCATGGTTATTCATATAATTACATATATATATATATGTATATACACGTGTATGGTTGTCGATATAGCGATATATTCATGTAACCGTTTTAATCACCTATACCTAAACATATTCATATACGTGTCTACCCATCTATCGATATATCGATGCATATATCTATGCATTCGTTTGTAAATACACTTCAGATGGTGGGTTGTTCATGAAGGGCCTTGCCTTCGAGGGTCGAAGGCGTTGTCAGCTCTGTGTGCGGCAGAGGGCGGAAGAGGGTGGGCAGAAGCCGGCAGAAGTAGAACGACGACGAGGAAGCGAAGATAGCTAGTGGTGTGATCGTGCCGCCAGAGAGGCTCATCCCGTGCACGCTGTGTGCCAACCAGTGCCAGGGGCCCAAGGGTCTCGACAACCACATGTTCAGAGTCATGAGAAGTTTCCCAACCCC